TCTCTGTGCCCTTGGCAGCCAGAAGGTTCAGCTGTGCCTTCTCCCTGACACCCTTGCCTGCTCCAGCTGAGCCCCGTCCTCACACCCGCCTTCCTGCTCCACCCCTAGTGTGCACCCCTTGCCCTTACAAACCATGGCTGCTCTGCGGAGCTCAAGTCCCTGGTGAAAGAGGATGCCTGGCAGGGGCAGCAGGGTTTTGATGACGAAAAAAAAACTGCTTCCAATGTGGTGAGAAAGGCCTGCAGAGGCAGGACTCAGGGGTCTAGAGAGTCCCTCGCTCCCATCAGGCCTTGGCCTCTTCTGAGCGTGTCTGCTGTTGCACACTGTCCCTCCCTTCCTTTCTGGTCCCTCTGCGGGGTCCAGGCTGCCCACGCTGTCCATGCCCTCTGAGGGTGAACCAGCAGTGTCACCTGTCTCTGGTTTTTTGATTTGTTTAATTATAGATGAGTTTTCTGCATAATTTATTCCAAAAGCCTGGATTATACTGTACAATTAAATCACATTCTGATCAACAACTTCACATATAAAATTAACAACCAACAACAGTTTATGCCGCTGCATCTGCTCCCGGTCTCTTTCTCTTTTTTCCCCTGTCCCTTCCCTGCCCCCTCTCCTCCTCCGTGCCCTCCTCTCTCTTTCCCTGTCCTCGGGGTGAGCATTTGCAGCCGGTCTCAAGGCTGGATGGCCCCACCTGAGGTTGGACCTAGAGACTCTCAGCCTTCTAGAGGGCTTCTGGATGGTTCTGTCTACTAAATGGCTTCTCAGCACCAGCTCTTCTCCTCACATAGGGTTGATTTTTCTCTCTTACCTAATGGTGACACCCCCCCTACACACACACACACACACACACACACACACACACACACACACACACACTGGCGTCTTGGCTTTAGAGACTGAGACCTGAGACCCTACAGTTCCCAGTGATAGTTTCTTTCCTACTAGGCTGACTCAGTGTGCTGCACCCCACTCTCCCTTTGTGGTCTGTCCCCACACCCATGCCCTCAGTAGGCCCTTTGATCCTGAGGATAAAGGCCATACTGTATGATTGTCCAGTCCTTAGGAGACTTACAGCATGACTGCAGCTTATCAAGGTGTCCCTGTGGATGTGTTCTAGACTGGTCTTGAACATTGGATTCTCTTGCTCCCACCTCCTGAGTTCTGCTGCTGCAAGCGTATGCCGTCACACCTGGTTGATGTGGTACTAGGCAAGCACTCTACCAACTGAGTTATGTCCCCCAGGCCCCCCGTTCCAGCATTCAGACAATTATTATTATCCTTGTTGACAGGTGGGAAAGCTGAAGTTCCAACAGGGACAGAACTCTCCAATATTCCACAGCTGGCAGTCTCTCCTGAGGCTTCTCAGAGCTGCCTTGTCCTGCAAGGACGATGGACCTAATGGAGCCGACATCTTTTTAAGTGTATAATCGGGCACCCATCTCGCCAGGTGGCTTGGTTTTGCTGTCTATAAATCAGGGCTGCAAAGCCTTTACTTCCCCCAGTTCAGGCTCGTGGAAAGACTGGGTGCAGTCTCCATCCTGTCCCCACAGCAGTCATGAAGTGCGGTGCCCCCCCTCCCCCGGCTGCACCACCTCCTCCTCTAGAGTTCTCTCCCTCACCGTCCTGCTAATTTGGCACTTACAGGCACTTAGAGATAAGCAGTGTCATTTCAGCGAAGAGGATGGAAAATCCCCAGGATCTGAGGATAGAGCAGGTAGACATCTTTGTTAGAATATGACCTGTGGGCAGCACTATCTGGCCAGGGGGCATTGGCATGGGCTCATGGGTCCAAGTCCACAGGAACACGGGCAGGATGTGATCCATTTACCTCTGAGTGAGTGAGACTCTGGATTCTGATGCATCTCTCATTCTCCCAAAGCGCCCATGCCTTTCTGTGGGATTAAGCCCAGCTATGCCTCAGTCAGGGTTGAACTTGCGTTGGTGTGTGGTTTTTCTAGGAATGCTGCAGGCGCACTCACTTCATCAGCTCCTCAGTACTGTACATCTCCCCCGCCCCCCAGCTAGCACCGGCCACTGGCCAAACCCTCGAACCCACAAAGTCATATCTGTGTGACAATGAGATGGATTATCTGTCAAGTCCTTTTTAGCTCCAGAACACAGATATTGCCTTTCTAATTAGGTTTGGTTTAGGTGAAGAATCAGAGTAACTTGTTTTCCTTAGCATTGTACTGATAGGCTGCAAACTGGGGACCTGCTGTGAGGCCCCAGATAGCAGACTAAGTCAGACTGAGGACTAGAGCTGCTCCTAAATCCCGGGGGGGGGGGGGGATGGAGGGAGAGAGAGAGACAGAGAGACAGAGAGACAGAGATACAAAGACAGAGAGGGAAGGAGTGTATATGTATGTCCTAGGGAAGAATTTGAATTTGTCCAAAGATTTGGTTTTTCTAAAAATTATTTTAGTGTTGAAATAGCCTCTTTACATGAGGTGATGGTGACTATATTAATAATGTGTTGTCTGAGCAAAATAAAAACTTGCCATCCATGCCTAGTTTTTTAATTTATTGTCTTTTATTTGCCTGTGAGATTCCAGAAGCAAAGGTCTATATGCATACTAGCAAAGAGGCCATACCCAGGTGAAATCTTTGGTGAACTGGTAAATATTACCAGCTATTAGCAACTGATAGCTCCTGGGGGAGGGAGAGTGGTTTTCTTTAACAGTATGGTCCCAGGAAGTTTGATCACACTGCAGTGGGTGTCCCCCCCACCTATGAGTATGTGGGCAGCACTTATGGGATTCAGTAGATTATTTCCAAATACATGAAGAAGAGAAAAGAGGATCTAGGCGTGGTGGCAACAACTTTAATTCCAATACTAGAAAAGTAGACTAGGTGAGTCCGGGCCAGCCTGGTCTACACAGAGAGTTGACTAAAGCAACATAGTAGGAACCGATCTATAAATAAATAATAAGCAAATAAATAGAAGTCATAAAGTTGGGAGGTAAGGATAGACCTGGGAGGATGTGGAGGAGGTAAATATGACCAGAATATGTTGTATGAAATTGTCGAAGCATTTTTAAATGCTTATCAGTTTGCTGCTGGGGGTGATAGTGGTGCTGTGATTCCTAAATCTGCTCATTTCTGTGGTGTAAATGTTCTCGCTGTGGCCGGTTCAAGCACAGAAGGTGGTGTGCTAAGTTGGAAGGAGATGCACGTGGTTGACCCTTGAGCGTCAGTTCTTGCGATTGTGCCAAGCTTCTGCAATAAGTCCTGTGTCCCCCCTTTCCTGGATGAGTGACCTTAGATAGGTCTCTAAACCCCCCTCTTAAACCCTCAACTTCCTCATCTGTGGTTTGGTGATTTTGTTTGTCTCTGCAGACTGAAGCCATAAAGCACATGACACGCTGGTACTGTACTGAGTAGATAGTGGGTGCCCTTCTGTATATTCACGCAGGAAGGAGTATGACTGGTATCTTGTCCTCTAAGCCAATGAATGGCTGAAGTCCGGTTTAGGGTCAGGGTAGAGCTAATAGATGTCTTCGGAGAGTGGGTCTTGACTCTGCCCACTCGGTCCAGATACAGGACTGAGTGACTCCATCCATTATTAGCCCCCAAGGTTCTGTAGTCGCAGGATCACAAAAGAGCCACCTGCTATATTGTCCATGTGCCATCAGGGCCAGAGCCTCGGTGCTGGTGGGCGGGGGTCAGGCAGGGAGCAGCACTCTTCCCTCTGCATCCTGGCAGCTGAGGCAGCCTGGCCTCTGCACAGACTCTAGGTTAGACTTTCCTCCATGGTGGGGAACAGAGTTGGGGAGTCAGGCAGTAGCTCAGCCCACAACAAGCTGAAGCTAATACCTCTTTCTTTTGATGTTGATTTTTTTTTCATTACGGTCCTGACATTCAGCTTGGCAAATTGCAATTAGTGATCTGCCCGCCTCCTGCTCTGAGTTCCCATGCCAACCGACCCGGGCACACACAATGGCATGAGCCCAACCCCCTAGTAGAGGCCTGAGAAGAAATGTGGGACAAGGAGCCAGAAGAGAGACCTGGCCCTAAATGACACCAGGGGATGTAATTGGCCCTGAGAAGGGTGTTGGGATCCTGAGAAGTTTCCTGACATTTCCCTACTCCGTTGTGCTCTATGAACCCCTGGCCTCTTCCATCTCTGTGGTGGGTCCCTTATGGGCTGTCTTGGAGCCTTGTCTACAGCTTGCTAAAATGGATGTAGGGCTGAGAATACAGAGTGTTATGGACACCTGTCCATCTTGTCCACTCACAGAGAATATAGCATCCTTGGCTCAACCTACTCTTACGTTTTCTTGTACCATTCTAAAGATGACCCCGAATTAGCTCCACATTCCAGAAGAGGAAGCTGAGAGAGAGAGATGGTTTTAAATGACCATACGGTCCAGCATACAGGCGGCCTGTTATGTAGGCTTGCAGTTCAGGGGTTCGCCAGACCTCCAGAAAGGAGTTGGATGATCTGTACTGGAGCCCTAGTTGGGCTCATGATCGATATCCAGCCTTGGGTCTCTGACAGGAAACTAGGAAGGCAAGGGCCATCTGAGTTGGGAGCTGTGTCTTTTGCCCAGGAAAGTGGGTACCTCCACCTCCTCCTGTTTACATGATGGGTTGGGGATGACATCTGGTCCCATCCCTTTCCTCAAACTTCAGTTGGCTTTCTCAGGTCTCCAACCTCCCTGGTGTCCAGAAGTCCCCATGTTCAGAACCGCTACATCAAGGACTGGTCTTTCTAGTGAACAATAGTGTCTCTGCAGGCTTCTTCCAAACTGCTGAACTCCCTCAGCGCATCCACAATGCCCACTCTTCTCTCCTTCCTAGCTGCCAGTCAGTGTGAGGAAAGCCTAGGCCACCAGGCCAGACATCAAAGGGAAAAATCACAGGCTCACTCTGACTCCTTGTGTCTGCTCCTTCTCTGGTGAAAATTGAGTTGAGTGAGTAGCTGCCCTGGTTCCCCTGGGTGGCCAGAAATGGGCTGTTGCAGCTGCAGCTCCTGACATCTCTTTCTCTCCTGGATGCAGGATGCAGCACTGGGCCCGGCGCCTAGAGCAGGAGATTGATGGCGTAATGCGGATTTTTGGAGGCGTGCAGCAGCTCCGAGAGGTAAGCTGATGTACTTGCTTTTCATCCGGGACCTTCTTCCCAGCAGGAATGAGGAAATGAGGGAGAAATGAGGAGGAGAGGAGGAGGTGACATTGTTGAAGTCCTGGCATAGTGAGCCATAGTGGATCTCAAGTAGTGACTCCATGAGGTCTCAGTCTAACCTTCTCCAGGTACCTGTTGGAATGGTGGCCCATTCTGATGAACCTTGTGTCTGGGAGAGTGTTGGGACTTCCCAGTTTTCAATGTCGGTGAGCTCTTCAAGGCATTTGAGACAATGCCTTGGGTGGGAACCCAGGCCCTTTAGGGGCCATAGCTACAAGGTGTGCAGAAGCCAGGAGTCTCATCAGCAAGTAAATAGGATGGCTAAGCCAAGCAGGACCCAGAGAAGAGGGTGGGAGGCTGGTATTCCAGGCACTATAGTCTGTATGAAGTGGCAAGCCTATGTTAAGTGTCGGAATGAGGGATCAAGGTGCGGGAGGGGTGATTGATTAGGCGCCAGCGACCACATTCATCCTGGGAGATTATGTTAATGTTTGAAATAGTGATGTGAAGAGCCGGCCATCCGTCACCCCCAGAAGGCTGCAAAATGTGCTGCCGTCAGGCTACAGGCTTGAGCTCTTTATGAGGAATGCGAGGCTCAGAGAACGAAGTTCTTACAGCAATGAGTGTGAGGCTCTAATAGGAGGGTGTCTGTTCAGTGGGGTCTGTACAGGGAGGTCCTGACCAGAATCAAGCAGAGGAATAATGGGATTCTCCTTTCCATCGTTGGCCTGGGGACAGCAGAGAAAACAGTTTCTATTGGGGGTTGCGTCTAGGCCTAGGGCTCAGTAGTTAGTGTTTCTGTCATCCAGGGTTAGGAGATGTAGGCAGGGACTGTAGGATCATCCTCAGCCCCTTTTCAGGCTTAGTTAACTTGGAGTGAGTATATTTACATTGCTTATGGATGTAGGACCCCTGGCACAAATGATGTTAAGCAGAGGTGGCTCATTAGTGGGTGGCATGGTGAGGAGGGCATTCAGGTCTGGAGGTCTGAGCTACTAGCTTGCTCAGCATTCTTCCCGAGATGGCCCAGGCCTGTAGAACTCCTGTTTCTGGTGCTGGGTTTGAACTGCAGCAGCCCCCATCCTACTCTTCCTGTGAACTCTCAATGACTCAGCTGCACTTGGAAGCCGCCAGAGCTTCCAGAGAAAGCACTGTGGGAAAAGCTGTTCCGGAACAGGAGTCAATTTAGGCTCAGGAATAGCATTCTGCACTAACCAGGCTATAAGTGGGCACTGCCAAGTGCGACCGTGTAGGTTAATGGAGGAATGGTAAGGCCCCTGGAATCTGTAGTGCATGCTTTTTCCAAGTTTTCTATGGGGCATTAGTACATCCGCGTATATCTAATGCCAGTTAAGAGCCCTCCAGGATTTCATATTTATGAGCGACTCGGAACGAACATTTATCTATGAAAAAATAATGTACGCTATATGCATGAGATGTGGATCTGTCTGGATGAGTGAGCTTCCTGGATGGTGAGGACCAGACATGGAATTTGACAGCAAACCTGTCATATGCACCTTGGGGAGACCTGGATCCCCCTGTTTGTCCTTCTTCCCTTGGGGGTTTTGCCTGGAATATGAGGAGTAAGGTGGCAATGGACAAGCCAATTTTACCCCGCCCCCCATCCAGAAATCATTAGAATTTTCTTCACTTTCTCTTCTAGGAAATTTTCTCTCCCTTTGGGTGGCGTGTGGGTAATTCCAGGCCCTTTTACCAGTGACCATATCTTTCCTGACTTTCACCAGCCAGGCAGTGAACAAGTGGCCACAGCAGGCTTGTGGCAGCACTGGGGCTTCTACCTCCTGCTCTAGCCCAGCCTCTGGCTTTTTTTCTCCTCCTGGGCACACAGAGGATGCCTGCGGCTTGGGAACCTGGGCAGGGCTGTGCTTGGTGTGGCAGGTGGGCAAGGAAATGCTGACCCAGCGTCCCTTACTCTTGGCAGCCCCTCCGCTGCCCACGGCTGCCAGCTCTCAGAGGCTCTGTCCTAGTCCAGTTTTTCTCACCTGCTTCCTCAGCCTCTTCCTGCTGACAGCTCTGGGACTGCTTCTTGGCACCGACTATTTGGCCAAGATGTATCCATGGGGGAGGGGACAGGTGTACGGATCTAGCGGAAGAGAGCAACCCTGTGGGAGCTAGAATGATCTAGCCAGTGGACTCCCTACCTGCTCCATTGTTCACATCTAACCCCAACCCTCACACCCTCTCCCTCCCTCCAATGCTTGTGCAAGGACTGGTGTGCCCTGCTTGTGTTTGGTTCTGGTGGGGCAGGAGGATAGTTGGTGCAGAGCTGTGACCAATGCTATCACTGGCCCTCTCACTAATGGTGCCAAGCTGCCAACCTAGGCCCTCATTGGGGCTGCCCCTCCTCGGGCTTCTGAGCTCCCCTAACCACTGACACTGGGGTGATCAGAGCCTCTTTCATGGCTCCACTCCTTGCCTGCCCTACTCCTAGAGGCTGCCCCACCCCCAGTAGCTTGGAGCCTCAAGGGCTGGCAGCTGCAAGAGAGCAGAAACTGCAGACAGTGGCATTTGGGAGAGTTTTCCTTGCCTTGGCATTTTCCTCCTCCCGACCTTATCCCAACCCCATGGGGCATGGCTGGGGGCAGACTGTGGCCCATTTATAGGTTAGAAACCATGGCAGACCATGGCAAGGAAGCTGTGTATGAAGACCCTGTCATCCTCTCATCCGACCCCAGGCCAGTACCTGGTATGCTGATAACCTGTCATCTCTTCTTCCTTAGGTTAGCCAGATAGCCCTGAGCTATGCTTTCTTGAACGTAATAGCCCCACCCCAGCCCTTGCCAATTTTTCCTTGTGTAGTCCATGAAAGTGTGGACCCTAAACATTCCGCCTCCCCATGGGACTGAGCGGGATCTCCTGAGCCCCTTCTCTACCCTCCCCCATCAGCACCATATTGTCCCCATGCTAGGGGGAGAGTAGAGAACATATGCTTGGGCTCAGAGCTCATTTGCATAATGAGGATATCAAGATGAATAATTCATCAGTTGCTTGGGGGTGCAAGGGGAGGATGAGGAGAAGGGCAGATCCTCTCCTCTTTGAAGCCTAGGGCAGGTACATTCCCACTTCTGAATGGATGGCAGGTTATAAGAACAGCTCTGGGGACCTTGTGAAAAGCAAGGCAGGAGAGACTGTCCTCAGGCGTGGGACAGTCATCGGGTGTACCAGCCCTGGGATAGGTAAGATGCTTGCTTATAGGGGAGAAGACCATCTGCTAAGAGTGGGAGGAAGCTGTTGACAAGGCTGGCTGGGAGCAGGGACCTGAGATGTCGTGAGGATCATGCCTATCTTCTGGAACCATACTGCCCGTGTCAAACTCCATGGGCCTCACTTGCTGGTCAGGGTGGAAATGCCTGTTGCCCTGGCTCTATCCCAGATGCCTCCTCCTTCATGGCGGTCTTAGCCGACCTACGTGCAACTGGGTATCCTCACAGACCTGTTGTGAAGGAGGGAAACCAAGGTCTTGGTCAGTCATCTCCAACAGCCGTTGCTGGAGCCCAGTGTCCTGGCAATGGAACCAGCATAGTCAACTCCTTCCCAAACTGTGTCCACAAGAAGCAGGACCTTAGGTTCAGATCCCCAGTCCCAGTCTCTTCTGACATCCTCCAGTCAGAGTGATTCAGGCCCATGGAGTCTATGGCTCCTCAACCTCTTATGAAGGCCAAAAATAGTATTTCTAAACCAGTGCCACTGCCAGTCCTGTCTGTCTTATCTGCCCGCGCCCCCCACCCCCGCTATTCCTCAACACTCCAGAAATGTGTAAATAATAATTGCAGTGCGCTACATCTGGAGCTGGCTATCAGCATGAACCAAAGCCTGGAAACATCTATGGTTCTCTGTAGGTGCCTTTGAGAAATGTCTCTGCCCTGCCACGTCCTCCCCAGCTCACCTCTGCAAACTTACACACTGGCTTTAGTATTTGCTGAAGATGTGGTCTGTTCCCATTTGAGCAAAGTGTGTGTTGGGCATCCAAGGCAAGGTTGACAGTGCCCTAAAGTTGCATGGAGCACCAGAACCATAGAGGGGCAGAAGAAGAAGAAGAGGAGAAGGAGAAGGAGGGGGAGGAGAAGAAGAAGAGGAAGAGGAAGAGGAAGAGGAAGAGGAAGAGGAAGAAGAAGAAGAAGAAGAAGAAGAAGAAGAAGAAGAAGAAGAAGAAGAAGAAGAAGAAGAAGAAGAAGAAAAGAAGAAGAGGCTTGGGTGAGGGGATGTGCCATGGGTTCGAAGAAGTCCCAGAAGGACCAGGCAAAGGCAGTGGTTGTGACCCCTGGTCCACACACTGGTTTGTGTGTGCGCCTTTGAAAGACAGGCAGCAAGCAGCTCTTTAGGGATGCAGTGCACTGAGAGTCTGCTGGGAGATGCTGAGAGAACCCCACCAACTCCCTCCCAGATCCTTCCGGGCTTACTGCACCCCCCATCTCAGAACCAGCTTCTTAGTGGCTCTGCACTTGCTTATCACACAGGCCCCACCTCTTCATCCAACTGCCTCCTTCCTTTGGGGGCCCAGCGACACCCTCCTCTCCCCTGGCGCAGATGATGGTGATGTGGGGCGCCTTGTAGTGGGGGAGGTGGCAAGGGGCTCGGGTGTGAAATATGCCGCTGGGTAGGGATTGCTGTCGCTTGCCTCCCTAAAAACCCACATATATTATTCTTTAATGGAAAGTTAATTGTCTTATTATTCCCTCCATATGGTCCTCTTGCTCGGCACCCAGCGGGGATGCATGGGGCTGAGGGGGGGCTCCTGGGAGGGCGTCTGAAACGTGATGAGGCCGCTGCTTGAGCATAATTGGTTACAGAGAGGCGGGTGTATCAGAGCCTGGACGAGCCCTGTCTGGACCCCCTTTTGGTACCCTATTCTCAGCCTAGCCTACTCCCTACCTTTTCCCTTTCTTTGCCTGTCTTTGAGTGACAGCACACGCACCCCCCCAGACACCACGCTGTCT